CAGGGATGCGTCGAGGAGGCTGGACCCGGCTGGGAGGCGGGGCTGAGGGGAAGGGCTTGAGGGTCTCATTTAGAGGCTTCTGGTTGCAGCGTCTACGCGCACAGCGAAGTGGGGAGCTGGGACGAGTCTGAGGGTGGGATGGGGGCGAGGCTAGATGTGGGGCCAGATCGAAACCTACAAGTGGGGTTTGGGGGCGGGGCAAGATGGGTCTAGGGGCGGAGGTCTGAGCGTGGAACCTGGAAAGTCAAGGGCGGGGGCGGGGCGTGCCCTGCGGCTTTAAGGCCTGGCCATTGCGGGAAGGAGGGGCCGGGTGTCCCTGATGGGAGGAGTAGAGACAGGCGCCTGGGAACTACGAAGGGTGGGGTACTTTTTATCCCCTTCCCAACACCTCTCATGGGCCCTTCTGGGGGCCTTCCCCGCCCCCCACCTCTCCCAGGTGGGCCCGGCGTCCCCCGCTTCCTCACGCCTCGGTCCCACCTGTGGTCTCCCCCGTTGCTGCCCCCGCAGGAGCTGATCACCGCCTGGTACATCGGGTTCCTGGTGCTCATCTTCGCCTCCTTCCTGGTCTATCTGGCCGAGAAGGACGCCAACTCCGACTTCTCCTCCTACGCGGACTCGCTTTGGTGGGGAACGGTAAGCGAGGGCCTCCCTTCCCCTTAGGACCATCTCTGACCCGTGTGGCCTCCGATTCAGCCTCCGATTCAGGGTTGGGCAGGCCTGTCCCTGTTCTCTCTGCTACGGCTGGGGCCCCTATGACCAGTCTGTATGCTAGCACCCCAGTTTGCCCCCTGGACCTGCTTGTGCCCCCATCTAATCCCAGATGCCAAGCCCTGTGGCCTGTATCCCAGCATGGGGCTGGGGGGTTGGGATGGGGCGGGATTTGTCTGTGCCCCTAGCCCAGTGGTCGGCAAACCACGGCTGGAGAGCCACATGCGGCTCTTTGGCCCCTTGAGTGTGGCTCTTCCACAAAATACCACGTGCGCGCACTTACAGTGCGATGGGGCCCTTCCCTCACGATCAGGCCTTCATCTCTGTGCGCCCCCAGGAAGTTCATGTGGGTGGCCACTGTGACCAGCCCTGTGGGTAACCTATTTGTGTTCCCAGATTACCCTGACAACCATCGGCTATGGTGACAAGACGCCGCACACATGGCTGGGCAGGGTCCTGGCTGCCGGCTTCGCCTTACTAGGCATCTCCTTCTTTGCCTTGCCTGCCGTGAGTCCCTCTCTGCCTAGGATTGCCCAGCCAGGGGAAGGGGTCCTGGGGGCAGAGCCTGCTAAGTGCCTGTCCCACATGGAGAGCGTCTCAGATGGGCAGAGACTGTGTTTTATGCCCGACCACATTCCCCCAACCATACCTGTTCCCCCAGGGCATCCTTGGCTCTGGCTTTGCCCTGAAGGTGCAGGAGCAGCACCGGCAGAAGCACTTTGAGAAGCGGAGGATGCCAGCCGCCAACCTCATTCAGGTACCGGATGCCTAGGGAGCCCCTGAGCTGAATTGGCGTGGCAACACTGTATGCTGACTCCGTGTCCCAGCTTCACAACTGTGACTCCACTTTGAAGCTCAGAGAGGAAATGTGACTTTTCTGGGTCATATGCCAAGTCAGGAACAGAGCTGGGATGCTGACTCAGATTGTCGAAAATGTCCCTCTGTACCAAGTGCCCAGTTTAGGATTAGTCAGAGCTGCCCCACTGGCCGACTCTGGTCCCAGTGTGACATGGCCTGAAGTGGAAGACAGCTGGCCGAGAGGCCCTAGGTCAGTGGTTCTCAACCTGTGGGTCGCGACCCCTTTGGCGGTCGAACGACCCTTTCTCAGGGGTCGCCTAAGACCATCCTGCGTATCAGATATTTACATTACGGTTCATAACAGTAGCAACATTACAGTTATGAAGTCGCAACGAAAATAATTTTATGGTTGGGTCACACCATGAGGAACTGTATTTAAAGAGGCCCTAGGTCAGCGGTTCTCAACCTGTGGGTCGCGACCCCTTTGGCGGGCGAACGACCCTTTCTCAGGGGGCGCCTAAGACCATCCTGCGTATCAGATATTTACATTACGGTTCATAACAGTAGCAACATTACAGTTATGAAGTCGCAACGAAAATAATTTTATGGTTGGGTCACACCATGAGGAACTGTATTTAAAGGGCCAGAAGGTTGAGAACCACTGCCCTAGGTGCTTGGTAGAGACACCCATCTGCTATGCAGCCAGCAGTGCGCTTGTTCCACTCCAAACACCTTAACTCATTAATTCATTCCACAAGCACTCACACGAATGAATGCTGTAACTGCAAACTGAGATCGATGTCTTGAAAGAAAGAAATGGTTCTCTGAAGAGCTTTTATTTTTTTATTTTTAAATATATTTTATTGAACTTTTTTACAGAGAGGAAGGGAGAGAGATAGTTAGAAACATCGATGAGAGAGAAACATCGATCAGCTGCCTCCTGCACATCTCCTACTGGGGATGTGCCCGCAACCCAGGTACATGCCCTTGACTGGAATCGAACCTGGGACCTTTCAGTCTGCAGGCTGATGCTCTGTCCACTGAGCCAAACCGGTTTCACTGAGGAGCTTTTAACAGGGGATCTTGAAGGGGGATTCAGGGAGGACTACCCTGGGAAAATGATACTTGAGCTGAGAGCTGGATGATGGGTAGGTGTTAAGTGGTGAAGAGGTGAACTGGGGAGACTCAGGGTAAGGGAACAGCGTGTGCAAAGGTCCTGGTGTATTTGACGAACTTGCAGAAAGCTAGCAGGGCCAGAACAGGAAGCTGAAGGAAGAGTGGATAGTGGATAGGTGGGCCAGGCCCAGACGCAGGGCCACAGGGAGGAGTGTCACTTTTTCCTAAGAGCAATGTGGACAGGTCTGAAGGAGGGGAGTGGGTGACATGATCAGATTTGTGTTTTGAAAAGTGGTGAAAGGATTGGACAGTGACTCAGGTAAGTGTGGGAGACCAGAAGAGAGACTCTGGCAACAGTCTGGGTGAGGCAGGTTGCTGGGTGATGTGAAATGGAAAGAAATGGGCAGATTCTGCATATTGAGGAGGTGAAATAAGTGACATCAGGAGTGAGGGTGAGGGAGAAGGCAGGATGACTTCCAGGTGGGGCGACACCTCCAGGTTTGCTCAACTGGATGGTTGATGGCCCTGCTCTCTGGAGTGGGCCCAGATGTGGAGCCGGAAGAATGTGAGTTTGCCTGGGGCATGTGGAGTCTGAGGGTCTTCTGAGCCCCTGGGTGGCGATGTTGAGCAGGCAGCTGGATGCCAGATGTGCCTCTGAGAGGAGAGAAATGGGCGGGGCAGAAACGGACAGCTGTGGCATGTTGTTGCATGTAGACGTAACAAAGCCCTGGGCCCGGATGAGCTCACCTTGTGGGTAAAGAGGGAGCAGAGAAGATGGGCCAGTCCTGGGCTTTTTGGAGCCTCAACATTTCGTGGCTGGGCAGACAAGTTGAGCCAGCCAAGGAGACAGAACCAGCAGCCAGAAGAGTGGGGTAAAAACTAGCAGTGTGTGGCCTCAGTTTCCCCACTGTGCTGAGGCAATCTGATGGGGCACGGGCTGAGACAAGGGCTCAGATTTGGGTGACTCTGTGACTCAGCCTTGGCTTCTCCCTGGTCAAGTGTGTGTGCAAGAGACTCACCTGCGGGAGACAGTTCAGGGAATGTAGGCACAGCCACATCGGCGTGCTGTCCAGCATGCCACCCTCTGACCCCCAACCCGAGTCTGACTCAACCCCTCCTTATCTCTCCTCCCCAGGGTGGAATTCCGCTCCTCATCCCCGCTATCTCCAGCCACCAACCTAGCCTTTCCTTCTCAGTGTCCCCTGGGGCACAATGGCCACTGTCCCCTGGGAGCTGGCCTTTGGAGGGGCATTGTAGGGGCAGGCAGCTGGCACTTCCATGCCGAGAGACAGCTGGTATTGTGGTGCCCATAATTAATGAGACAGTCTGGCAGCTGCTCCCCAGCCTACGCCAGGGGCCTAGGCAAGCAGGAAGTAAAAATATTCCTGTCCTGGGAGGGTGCCCGGCTGGTGAGTTCATCAGTGGGCAGTCCCTTAAGGACAACAGGCACCCAAAAAGTGGGGGAGCAGCCAGGGCCAGTTCTACTTCGCCCTATCTAACAGCTTCCATGCCTCCCTGCCCTCGCTGATCGCCCCACTCACAGTCCCTCCTGGCTCTTCCCCTTACCTGGAGGGAAGGAAACAGTCTTTCCTCATGTCTGACCCTCATTCCTCCTGCTGCGAGGAAACCCTGCAAGTCCATGAATGCTGAGGGAGGTGACCCTCTGTCTTCCCCTCCTCAACCCTTGGGCAGTGACAGGCAGCTGGGAAAGAGGGGGTGGGGTTGTTGTTAGTGATAATGATTCACTCAGTCAGCATTCATTCCTTGAACATTTGCAGAATACTCACCATGTGCCAGAGGACGCAGTGGTGATCCAAACACAGCTTACAGCCTAGCAGCGGTTCTCAACCTGTGGGTCGCGACCCCTTTGGCGATCGACCCTTTCACAGGGGTCTCCTAAGACCATCCTGCATATCAGATATTTACATTACAATTCACAACAGTGGCAACATTACAGTTATGAAGTCGCAACGAAAATAATTTTATGGTTGGGTCACAACATGAGGAACTGTATTTAAAGGGCCAGAAGGTTGAGAACCACTGGAGGAGGAAAGACATTAATCAAATACACAATGAATAGATAGCTACCAGTGGTATAGTAAGGGAGATAACAGGAGGGTTTAACAGGGGAACTTGGCATTAACTGCCAACTATATGCCAGGTACTTCACTTGACATATTACATACACTCACCTATTTAATCCTCTTAACACCCAGCTAGGTAAGTAGTATTACACCCATTTTACAGACGAGGTAACTGAGGCTCTGCAGCTTTACTTAACTTGCCCATAAGGGGCACAGCTAGGATTGAAAACCCATCTACCTGATGACAGAACCCCAGCTCTTAGCTGCTGTACTCCAAGGCCCCTGGCTTTGAGGCTGATCTGCTCGTCACCTTGGGAAAGTCATTTGCCTCTAGGCCACCATTTCTTTGTCTGGCCCTGCTGGTGGCTATGGAATTGAAACTGGCTTATGGTTCTGCGTACCCTCCAGCTGGCCCAGGCCCGGGTTGTCTCAGGGGTAGAGGGCTGGTGGGGGGCTGAGGGGCCGCACTGATGCCTTGTCTCCCGTTTCCCTTCCCTCATACCACCAGGCTGCATGGCGCCTATACTCCACCGACAGGAACCGGGCTTACCTGACGGCCACCTGGTACTACTATGACAGTATCCTCCCATCCTTCAGGTAGGCCCTGGTGCAGGGGGAAGGCAGGATAGGGGCTGCCAGTAATGCCCCGTGAGGACAAATGGCTGGGATTCAGCCCTGGAGGGTGGGAAAGGGATGATGGCTCCCAAGGGAGCATCTGGGGCTGGCTCTGCAGATCCTACCTACCTCAGAGCCTGGCGTGTATTCTCTCCCCCTCTCTGTGCCCTGGGAAGACTGTGGACACTGAGCACAGGGCGTGGGGTAGAGCCCTGCCTACCCCTCTGGATGAACCCCGAGCCCTGGAGTGTTGGCAGTCTGCATGCTTCCCCAGAGTCAATGCCACCCAGGGTAGTGGCACAGCCAGCTCATCTCCCCTTGGTCTGTGTTGGGGGTGCGCTGTTAGCCTTGCCAGCTTGGCGTATTGCAATGGATCGAGAAAGTATGGGATGGGCCTGAATGGGCATGCCGGAGTTGGGTGCAGGGGCCCACATAGTACCTGTGTGTGTGAATACGTACCTACTTTTACTGTACTAGGCAGCAGCTTTAGGGCCCAGAAGTGAGTTCGCCCACTGACCCAGGTTGGGGTAAGATTGCACAGGGTGGCTCCATGCAGGTTTGCATCATCAGGGGTTGTGTGGCCAGGTGCCTGGCCAAGCCCTTGGGTAGGAATGAAGGCCACGGAGCACAGCTTGGTCCCGCGGGCAGGCGGGCATCAAGCGGCGTCAAGGCAGGCCGGGCTGCTGTGCTCAGCGCTTCTGCTGGTGCCTTCTTTTTTTTTTTGGCCTCATTAGTTCTCCAAGAGCAGCTGTTGCATGATCCCACTCATCCCTACACCTGGCCGCCTCCCTCCCTACTCCCTCCCAGCGCCAGGGGGTTCCCAGGGGAGGAGCCGGAGGAAAGGGGCTGGGAAGGGGAGCTCCCAGAATCACACTGGTTTCCCCATCTCTCCACCTCGCAGCTGGTGGAGACCAAGAGGGTAGTTAGTTTAGGAGAAGCTGCCCTTTCCAGGAGGAGCCCTAAGGACTCAAGGCCAGCCTTGGGGAATGGTGCGGGGGGCTGGTTTGTTAGGAATATGATGTGCGTGGAGGAGGGGGGAAGATTTTGGGTTGGGGTGATCTTGGGTCCTCTGGTAAGAGGGACAGAGATTGGTTTGGAGATTCTGGGTCGACTAGGTCTCCTGCTCCTTGGACCGCAGTTTCTTCATCTATACAACAGAAAGGTAGAAAGGGGAGCTGTCTTCCTTGGGTTACGGAAACAGGAAATGCCTGGAGAATTATGAAGAAGCTGAGCCCCAGATCTGGTCTCCAATAACCCAGAGCTTCAGGGGAAGGAGCTGGCTAGCTACCCAATCACGTCTCCCCCTTCAGCCTCAGTTTCCCCCCTAAAATTCGGAGTCAACTCTGGAGGCTGAGTTGTTCAGGGCTGCCGCTGGCCGCCAGGTAGGCACAGCTCCAGATCCCTGTGCACAGCTTGGTGAGCAGAGGGAGCTGCATTTGAGCTCCCACTTGCCCCCTCGTGAGGGTGCTCTGGAGTGTGCCCAGCCTGCACAGCCATACTTGGCATCCCTGAGGACTTCCCAGGAACCGCGTGGAGAGAGGGAGGGAGGGAGGCTGGTCTCTCCCGCCCCCGTACGCTGCCTGCTCCGGCCTGGCGTGAGTGCGGAGCCCCTGGAGAGAGGCAGGGCCCGGCTGGATGTGAGCTCAGGAGCTCAGTCCGCTGATGGCACCCTCTCCTGCAGAGAGCTGGCCCTCTTGTTTGAGCACGTGCAACGGGCCCGCAATGGGGGCCTACGGCCCCTGGAGGTGCGGCGGGCGCCAGTACCCGACGGAGCGCCCTCCCGCTACCCGCCCGTTGCCACCTGCCACCGGCCGGGCAGCACCTCCTTCTGCCCTGGGGAAAGGTAGGGGCCCTCTGGGGCCACCGCCTCCTCTTGCTTCTCCTCTTCCATTCTCTGTCTCATCCTCTCTCGGACTTGTGTCCAGCCGCGACCTGGCTGTCTGGGCCTGTTCTGGGGACTCCCAGGCCTTGGCATGAGGCCTGGGCAGTTGTCGAGCAGCCTGGCAGATGCAGACTGAGAGCCTCTCTGGAGGGGTCAGGCTGGACTCACCTTTTTTGTCACCTGGAAGAGTGGGGGATCTGTCCCCACCATCCTTTCCTATCACCTCCTCCATTCATTCCGTTGTCCTCTTTCTTTCTCTGTTTCCACGCCTCCCCCCTCACTCTTCCATCCCTGCACCCCCATCCCTCCTGGGAAGCTGGAGAGAGGAGGAGGCCGCTGGCCACAGGTGCTTACGGCTCAGGTAATCGTGGGCACCATCCTGGGGTGTGAGGGCAGGGACCCCTCCCCCAGCATGTTCCTCTAGAAAGGGTTTGACACTGAACTCGCCTCTCGGGAGCAAGACGCCAGCTGGAAAGAGAGCTCTGTGACTAAGAACCGCTGTAGGACCTACGTAAACTCAACCAATGACTAATGCTCTTGTCTTGTGTAACCCTTGTCCACAGCTTTGCTAATCCCAGGGGATCCTCCTGGGATTCTCCCACAATGCCTTTCTTCTTTTCTGAGGGACAGTTTGCTGCTCCCAGCAGTCTTCTACCCCTTGACCTGACTTGCCTGGAGCTTTTGCATCTAGAAAGAACACAGAAATAATGTTTGCCCCCCCCCCCACACACACACATAAATGTTCCTAATAGTGGATTTTCAAGCCTATTTGGATAAGGGAAGCCCCTAACTCACAGTATGGGGAAGTGGCTGCTCCCGTGGAAGTAGAGCTTTGTGTTTAAGGATTCAGCCCCCCCTGCCCCATTTCTCACCTGTCCTCTGCCCATCTCTTTGTTTTGTCTCATCTTCACACATCATCCGTGCATCAGCCAGCCAGGCATCTGGGCCTTGAGCCTCAGGTGTGATGCTGAGCCTGCGGCCCAGAACAAGGGAGAGGAGAAGAGGTGACCCACTCTGTGGTCAGGAGGAGGAAGTGCGGTGCAAGCTCACCTATGCCACCTGATGCTGTGTGTCCTTGAGAAAGCCATCAAGTCACTCTGAGCCTCTGGGTCCTGGGCAGAACATCAGTGATGTTTTAGCTGATAAGGAGCTCTTGGTTCTCTCGGTTTCTGGGCAGAAAAGCTTGGGGAGCTGGGAGGAGGGGGGTTTGGTGCAGGGGACTCTAGGAGCAGCTTTTCTTCCCTGTTCTGAGTAAGGACATTTGGTGGGTGGAGGCGCTTATCAGAGAGGCAGAGCCAGTCCTCCAAGTCTGGGGCTGGAGGGAGGGGCCAGGCCAGGCTGGCAGCTCCCTGGAAGAGCATCGCATTCAGTTTCTCTGTCACGGCCTAAAGGCCGTCATTGTTTTTGCCATCCCGAACCAGCCCCGGCCTCCAGGCAGAAACTCAAAAGTTTTTGGCATTGGTGCAACCCTGCTCAGCTGAGCCAGGGTGCTCTGTAGCTTCCACTCTGTAGCTTCCAGTTCACTCTGGCCTCACCTTATCTAAATAGGAAGGTTCTGGGGATGGAGATTAGCTTGTGACCAGCACCTGTGCCACCCTTCACAGCTGTTCTGGGTCTCTAGGCCCCCCCAAGGCCTAGGAACAGATTATTAGTGAGTGCTTGGCTGTCACTAACTCCAAGCCTTACGTCTGTCTGCCCTGGAGTGTCTGCATGGCTGGGACTCGTGGTGCTGGTGGTGGGGTGTTCCTTCAACTAAGTGACCCCACTGAGCTAAGCTGTGACTTCTAGGCAGTCAGGCACGAGCCTCAGGCTAAATGGCCATATCCTTAATCTTGGCTGTTTGGGACCCATGGGTGGGGGGATGCCGCAGATGGGAACACACACACACACACACACACACACCTGAATGCTCACACCCTCCGTGGTGCTTGTGGATGGACTAGGCCCGTGGTCGGCAAACTGCGGCTCTTTGGCCCCTTGAGTGTGGCTCTTCCTAAGCCTTAGGAGTACCCTAATTAGGTTAATAACAATGTACCTACCTATATAGTTTAAGTTTAAAAAATTTGGCTCTCAAAAGAAATTTCAATCGTTGTACTGTTGATATTTGGCTCTGTTGACTAATGAGTTTGCCGACCACTGGCCTAGGCCAACCACACTCCCAGAACTACAGGAGCGGGACTTCCTGGGGCATCCATTGTTAGGGCCAGAGCCTCCTCTCTTTGGGGTTGTGTGATGAGGTGCTAAAGCAGTGTCTCTCAAAGCCTGGTCCACTGACGTCTTGCATCAGCATCCGGTGGGGTATCTGTTGAAAATGCAGACAGCTGGATCTCTGCCCAGGTCCCCAGGAGGAGAACCTATGGAGAACAGACACCGATTCTGCATATTTAACCTGCTCCCCAGGAGATCCTCATGCAAAGCTTGAGAACGTCTGGGAATGTGGGCCAAAGGACGTCTGGGTGGGGGGCCTTCTCCCACCAGCAGCAGGAGGCTGGCCCCATCCTGGCAGCTCCCCATGCTCTGCCCACCTGTCTCCGTCCCACTAACCTCTGTTTGTGTCTTGTTCTCAACTTTCCAGCCAGATGTTTAGTAATAAACGGAGTTTCTTTCGGATCCACGCCAGCTGGAGACCGAGGTACCCCTTACCTGCTCCTCCTGTCCCTACTCCTCCTTGCCCCACCCAGTTTGGGGGCTGAAGAGGGGGACAGGATGGGCCAAGAACAAGGTGCATGTGCCTGCCGCCTGCCATCTGTCTTGGGGCCCCGATGAGCCCCTCGCCTTCCTGGGGATGCCTCTGCCAAGTCTGGAGCATGGGCCTGGTGCCCAGTCTGCCAGGACGGACACTTACAGGAGGCTTGGGATGAGTTCTGGCTCTGCTGCTGACCCCTTGTGTGATCTTGGCCAAATTGCTTTTCTTCTCTGGACCTCGGTTTCCCATCTGTGAAATGGGCAGATTGAACTAGAGGCTCTATGAGGGTCCCTCCCACTCTGACTTTTGCTGGGCCTTAGGTTTAGCTTCCCCACTGCCCACCCAGGGACCTAGCAGATGCCTGAAGGAGTGGGATTGGTACCTCCCTTGCTAACTCCAGAGCCCAGCTCTTTTAGCCACATCATCACCACATTCCTTGGTAGCTGCCCCATGCCAGGCCTGCACTAGGGACACGGTGATGAAGAAAACATGGTGCCTGGAGAGTTGCAGAGTAATTGCTATTCGGTGTGATAAGTGTAGCAGAGGAGGAAGCAGAGGGCCTGTGGAGCCTGGGTCAGGCACTTTACGCCCAGGAGGTCCAAAACACAGTGGGTGTGAGGGAGGGCATCATAGGCCAAGGAGGCGAGGAGGTGAGGAGGTGAGAGAGAGCACAGCCATGGAGGGAAGGCATCATAGGCCAAGGAGGTGAGGAGGTGAGAGAGAGCACAGCCATGGCAAAGGACCAGGCAGCCCAGCGTGGCCAGATCTCAGGAACTGAGGCTGGGGGCAGAGCGGGGTCACGAAGAACCCAAAAGCCCAGTGTGGGCCTTGTCCTCTTGGCACTGCCTGGCAGCTTGGGCTCATGGAGTCCTGGGTTTCCCAAAAGTGCCTCTGGAGCCTTGTGGGCTGGGGGCCCATGAGGAGGAGGTGAGTGCCAGGGCTAGAGGCAGTGTTGCTTAGAAACATGGGCTCTGGGTCTGAACCTGGCTGCCACTCACTCGCTCAGGGACTTTGGACATAAGCCCCCCGTGCCTCAGTTTCCTCAGATGTAAAATGTGGGTGATAATAGGATCTGCTTCCTGACTCGTAGGAAGTGCTGTATGGATGTTGGCCTCATTTGCTTTGGCCTGTTGAGCAGTCAACACCTTACTTATTTTAAAAAGGAGTTTGGAAACCATGGCTGTAGAAAGTGGGTACACACTGAAGGGTTAAGCTGAGAGTCTCCAGGTCTGCCCCTTTTCAAGATGACTTTGGCCGTGTGGGCATGAGAGTCAGGAAGGGCAAGGCCAGGGCAGATGGGCCTGTGGTGAGGTTGTTTCCACAGTCCTGAAAAGAGGTGCTGTTTGCAGCACCAGGAAGAGCTGGCTGCCTCTCTTGCCCCATGACCTTGGCCTTGGGCAGGCAAATGGTGAGCCCTTAAAGAAATCCCTTGTGGAAGTAAGTACAGGGGTTGGGCCTAGGTCAGTCAGAGGGCAGCCTGTGCTCAGAGCTTGCCCCCTCCCTCCCCCAATAGGACAGCCCTAGTCAAGCCCACCCCATTCATCTCCCAGACACCAACAGATCTCTTAGATCAGAGTTTCTTGATTTTGGCAACATTGGTATTTTGGGTCCGATAATTCTTTGTTATCAGGAGCTGCCACATGCATTGTTGGATATTTAGCAGCACCCCTGTCCTCTACTCAGTAGGTGCCAGGAGCACATCCCAGTGTGACAACCAGAAATGTCTCAGACATTGCCAAGTGTCCCCTAGCGAGCACAGTTTCCCCAGTGTGGGTGATTGCTTGTCCCAGAGAAGGAACACAGCGTGTACAGCCAGAGAAGACAGGGTTCCAGTCCTTGCTCCATCCACAGGAGCTCTGCCACCTTGGGCAAGTCATTTCACCTGCCTCTGCATCTATAAAACAGGGATGGAAAATACGGACCCACCACACGAAGTGGCTGAGAGCCGGAGGGCTGAGGCAGTGAGACAGGACCTTGCGTGTTCGAAGGAGCCTGGGAAAGGAAGGCGCCCTTTCCATGTCCACCGTGTGCCAGGTTTCTTTCCATTTTCTTTGAGCTTTTAGGCTCCAGAGAGGCTCACAGGAGCCATTTTCTGGGCCCTCTCCAAGGAGCTGGAATCTAGCCCCGCCCCCTGGGGAAACAGCCTTCTTCCATCAAAGCAGAGCCCATGGCCGCTGGCTGGCTGGAAAGTTACAGAACCCACAACCCGCCAACCGTCACAGAATCAGAGCTGGAAAGGGACCTTCCAAGGCCTCTAGTACAAGCCCCCAGACCTTCCCTGGATGAGTCCGGCTGAGTGCAAGCTGTCTTGCTTGCACACTTGTCATGACAGGGAGGTCGCCCCGTTCCCCCAGAATACCACTGGAGTGATGTGTTGGGTGCAGAGATCTGGAGTTCCAGGCCCTTGGCTGAGTGTCAGGGTCTTCTCCAGCTCCCTCTCTTCCTCTCCCGCCTGGAGGAGTGGAGGACAGGAGGAGGGGTTGCACGGGCCGGGCGGGTGTGGGGGTGCTTGCCAGCATGAGGAGAGCTCGAAGGAATGGCTCTGCAGAGGAAAGTTTGGGAGAGCCAACCTCAAACTTTGGTTGGAACTTTTGGGATGTGTTGAGGGGATACTGGGCCAGAAAACAGCATGCTAGATTGCGGGGGCCACCCCTGTCCTTCCCTTCTGATTTCAGGGCCCAAACCCTTGACCTGTCACCTCTCCCCTCTGGGCAGAGGCCCCAACCTTTAAGGATGGCTCTGTATCCTGGCTGCCTTTCCGAAGTTGTCTCTGGTTTCACGATCTCCCTTACCGCAGCACCTTGACTCTGTACCCTGGACCCCATGCCCTTGGCATGGGGGACCCTGGCTTCTACCCAACCCTGAAACCAGAATCTATCCTCTGCCATCCCCTTGATTGGAAAGTAGGTGACACAGTCTTGTCCCCCAGCTCCTGCCCCACCTCTGAGAGTGGCTGATGCTCTCTGAGCCAGGGCCCTAGACATTTGGGGCAGAAGGGCCCCCAAACATATCTGCTAGGGGCCCTCCAAGTGGCAAGCCACAGCAGGGAGGCAGCCACAGGGCATGAGATGGGGGATGTTTGCATAGGTCCTGCTCTAACAGCGATGACATGGTCTTTGAACCTCTTGGACACAGAGTTACTCTACCAGGTAATGGTTATCCAGGACCTGTTCTGGGGAACCTGAGCCCCCCCAACCTGCCTTCCTCCATGGCTTGGGGGTCTGGTGGGGAACTGAGATGTGGGAAGGGAAGTTTGAGCACATGCAGACATGCGTGTGTGTGCTCACATGAGCACAGACGTGTGTAGGTGCTATTCTCTGGGGGCTTAGTGGACAGGCAAGTAGAGCTGTGGAGGGGGGATCCATGATCACATGGGCAGGTTATCAGCCCAGGTGGGCAGAGTTTGAGCAGGGGAGACCTCAGAAGAACAGGCTACAGACCTTCCCCGGGAGGGCAGACACCCTATGTGTCCTGGGCATACATGTGGGCCAGCAGCTTAGCAGGGCCAAGGCCGCTCAGCAGCCAGTCCACTGCAGGCCCGCAGCACCACTTACACTGAAGTCCGTGTGGTGGAGACATCGGGAATTTTTCAGCGCACTGCCTGTGCGGTTGGACAGGTCCCAATGCCCTGCCTTGATCAGTATGGGATCAGATAGTTCCAGGAGTGGGGAAAGGAGGAAGGAAATATAAACTGACACATGTACACACACCCCAACATATGTACACACATGGATACATGTGTACCTACTATCACATGTGTGCATGCCAACACACACACACACACACACACACACACACACACACACACACCCTCAACTCCACATAGCCTGCCCCTGGGTACAGTGAGGGGCTGGAGGTTCACCTTGGTGAGCACGGCCAGGCGAGCTTCTCCATCCTTTAACAGCCTGTCTGCCCAGGCTGGTCACCACCTCCACCCACCCACCATCTGGGCCAGGCCAGCTCCCCTGTCCTCCTGTCCGTCTTTGACTTCCTTCTTGGGTTCTATCACTCCCTCCACTCTGACATCTGTCTCCTGTGCACCCCTTATCTGTCTGGGCACTGAGGGGTGGGAGGTGAGGGAGGGGGAGGATCTGCTCAGACTGACCCTGGATTAGCTTCTAGTAGGAGTCAGGGCCCCCCTCACCACACTCTGTCCCATCCCAGGAAGTCTCCACTTGGTGGAGAACCATACCCAACAGCCACCCCCGAGTCCTAAGTCAGCTATGTCCCTACTCATGCCCACCCCAGCTCCAGCTAACTTGGCTCTCTCCCCCACCCAACTTGCCCTGCCAGTAGCCGAATGGGCATCAAAGACCGCATCCGCATAGGCAGCTCCCAGCGGCGGACAGGCCCCTCCAAGCAGCACCTGGCACCGCCGTCAATGGCCACCTCCCCAAGCAGCGAGCAGGTGGGTGAGGCCACCAGCCCCACCAAGGTCCAGAAGAGCTGGAGCTTCAATGACCGCACCCGCTTCCGGGCCTCTCTGAGACTCAAACCCCGCTCTTCTGCTGAGGGTGAGCCCTGGGGGCCTGGGGCCCCAGACCTGCGGAGGGTGGCAGGGTGGGGGCAGAGTCTGAGCTGGGGGTGGAAAGACTTGGTTCCAGTCCTGGCTCTGCACCTGATTGCCTATCTTTGGGCACCTTCTGGTCTGTAAAATGGGCGTCACGATACCTGCTTCTCAGGGCTCCAGACAGAATCAGATGAGAATGCGGAGGGTGGCATCTGGTCGTGGTTAAAGGCACAGGCTTTGGAGCCCGGCTCCCTGAGTTTGAATCCTGGCTTTGCCATTTGTCTTGAGTAAAGTCCTCGGATGACTCTCTGGGACTCATTCTTGTCATCTCTAAAGTGGGGCTGATAATAGTATCTACTCCCTAAGGTTATTGTGAGGATTAAAGGAGATTGTCCGTGGGAGGTGAACAGAAGCATGCTGGGAATATAGTGAGTGCTCATCGAAAGCGAACTGCAGTGCAATTTTAACCAGAAAGGTCACTTTTCTGAGTTCTAGCTCTGCTCCTGACTTACACTGTGACCTAGGCAAGATACTGCCCCTTTCTGTGACCCAATGTCCTCTTCTGGAAAACGAGAGGGTTGGACCGAGTTCCCCGGAAGAGTTCTCCCAGCTTTGACATGCTTCAGGCCCCTGGGTGCGAAAAGGAAGGGGCGGGTGAACAAGGACAGAGGATGGGGACAGGAAGCCCCTTTGACCTTGGAGAGAGAGGACTCAGCTATGCTGCCTCTGTCTGTGCTGGGTCAGCCCCTAATACGTGGCGGGCTGACAACTCGGAGAGGCCTTTCCTGGAGTTATAGATCCACACGAACCATGAGAGACTGGGCAAGGCTGGTGCCTGGGGCCTCCTTTCCATGCCCAAGGACATACCTGGCCTCCCCCCACCTTGTGCCCTGAGGGCCCAGGACAGCATCACCTCTCTGTGCAGTCAGGGCACCAGCCTGGAAAAGCCATTTCTCTCATCCGGAAGGAAATGACTTGATTGAGGGCCTTGCCCAGTGGCAGAGCTGGGCAGGGGAGCCAGCCCCTTGACTTCCTTCCCTCTTGGTTCCCTCTTGGCTGAAGGATGAGACTGTGTGCCTGATGGTGTGCAGAGGCCACAAGCCCCTTTTCTTGGGGACTCCCCGTCCTGGGTAGTAGAACTAGTGGGGCTTCCTCCAGGGCTCTGTGCCGTTCCCCCCAGGCCAGACCAGATGTGCTCCGCCTGGCCACCAGGTAAATGTTCACCCTGTCTGGCCACAGGGAGATGCCGTGCAATGAACTGGGGATTTCCACTCTGGGTAGGGCATTGAGGGAGGCTGGAATCTGGTCTGCCTTTGCTCCCAGGAAGGTTCTGGGCCCTTTCTGGGCCTTGTTCTCCCTATCAATACTTCTAAGTATAATTGGGCATGTGGTGGTAGGGGTGGAAGTGGCCCCTTCTGCTGCCACCACCTGGGTCCCCTGACTTTCCAGAGGGCCCCTCTGAGGAAGTGGCAGAGGAGAAGAGCTACCAGTGCGAGCTCACGGTGGATGACGTCATGCCTGCGGTGAAGACGGTCATCCGCTCTGTCAGGTGAGACTTAGGCCTCAGGTGGGTCCTCCCCCTGTTCATCTGCCACCCATTGCTGCTCCCCATCTGGGGTCTGCCCTCATGGCCAGGCCTGGCCTAGATCCCGGGCACACCAGCTGCTGCCCACCTGGCACCCTTGTGTGGGTGGGTGCGGAGGTGGCATATGGCTCCCAGCAGGGTTTCCGCATACTCTTATGATGGGAGGGCTGGCTGGGTGGGGCGGCTGGCCCAGCTGCCCGTCATGGTCGTTCTCCTCACGCCCACAGCATCCTCTTCGCTTCTCTCCCCAGCCGCTCGCTCGTTTTACGTCAGCTCTTTTCTCTTTATTTCTCTCTCCCTGGCATCAGCATCTGCCTGCCTCTCCCTGTGTCGGTCTGATACACTCTTTACCTCCTTCTGTGTTTCAGACTCTCTCTTTCTCCTTGTGTCTTGACGTCACCCTGTCTGTTCCCCCAGGGCCGAGCAATGGTTTTCAAACCACAGGTCACAGCAGTTTGAAGTCAACTTAGTGAAATCAATTTAGTGGGCCATGGTCCCCATAAAAAATTTTAAAGAAAAGAAAAAATATCAGTGTGCGTCCCAGTAGTGAGGGTGAATGATGTGTATGAAACTTGTGTTTTTAGTTATGTGCCTGTGTGTATGTGTGGACTGGTTTCTGAAGTAAAATATATTTCTTATGGTAGGTCTTGTTTAAAAAGTTTGAAAACCCCTGCCCTACTGACTCTACTGGCTGTCTCCTTGCCTCCACACATAAGGGGTGACCAGAGTCTCCTGAGCTCTTGAGTCCCGGCCCAGCATGGATCTGGCCCCCCAGCTCCTTGGCGTCTCCAGCCAGAGTTCCACAGGTGCCTTCACCCCCAGGCCTTCCAGACCCACTGCCTCTTCCCTGGCTGATGCACCTGCCCACAAGCCTCTTCCCTTTGTGTTCCTTTAAAAACCAGAGTCAGCTGGATTCCTCCCCAACCCCCCGAGAACCTGAGTTCTCTTCTCACCTTCTTTTTGCACATCCCATCTCTCCCCTCCAAGTGACTAGCTTCCAGGAAACAACGCCTGAGCTGCCACCTGGCCCAGGTCAACACTCCTTGGCCACCCCACAGACTCCTTACCCCCAGCACGCCCCAAACCTGGTCCTCTTCCTGATCTCCATTCCAGCCAGTGGCACCACCATCCACCCTGTTGCCCCAACCACGGGAGTCAACTTAGTGAAATCAGCTCACACTTAGGGGTCTTTCAGTCCTGAATTGCTCACTGCTGTCCCGCATCTCACCTCACTGCCCGCTTCCGGCTTAGGCCCATCCCTGGGAGCAGGTCTTCCTGCCTAAATTTCTTTTGAGGGAATAAGCCCCAGGTTCCCAGGTTCCCTCCAAGGCTGGCAGAAGAAGCCCTTCCCCACCACCCAACTTCCCATTGCCCAGTCTCTGCCAGGGATTTAGGGCTCTGCAGAGTACCCTCCTCAGCCTCTATCTCAAGGCCAATCCCTTCCCGTCTTCTCATACGCCCACCCCACCTCCCTTTCCTTCCCAACTTGTTTCGGCTCCTTTGACCCGACTCACTCACACAGGGTCCTGCCTGCCTTTGTCCAGAAAGCCTCCCTCCGTCCCCCTCCCAAGACTTGTCCCCTGACTGCACCAGCCATTGCCTCCCTTGTCATGGCCCCCAGCCCTCTTTCTTTATTCCTTGACATGGCCCCTGTCAGCCCATAATTGTTTATGTCCTCTGACGCCCCCCTCAGACCAGGGCTCCTGAGGCCAGCAATTGGATCTGACGCCCTTTTGGGTGCCCAGGTCCAGCACAGCTGTGCTAACAAGCATTTGCTGAGGGAATGCAAAAAATGTCTTTGTCCAGCCCTAGCTGGTTTGGCTCAGTGGACAGAAGCGTCAGCCTGTGGACTAAAGGGTCCTGGGTTCGACTCCAAACAGGGGCACATGCCAAGGTTGTGAGCTTGATCCCCAGTAGGGGGCGTGCAGGAGGCAGCCGATCAATGATTCTCATCATTGATGTTTCTCTGTCTCTCCCTTCCTCTCTGAAATCTATCTATCTATCATCTATCTATCTATCTATCTATCTATCATCTATTTTAAATGTCTTTGTCCAAGCTGTCATCAGTAAGAGTGTCACATCTAGCAGGGAGCAACCCGGTCCAGTCCCTGCCCTCCCAGGCAAATGCGACTGCACATATAGGCACATTAAAGAATACCAAATTCTGGGTCCCGGGGCATGGTGGGGAGGGAGGGAGGCTGGGAGACGCAGCAGAGGCTGTTTGCCGGGGTCCACGCAGGAGGAGCCTTGGTACTGGACAAGGAGGCAGCAAAGGGATGGTGACGGGGCTGGGAAAGAATTCCCTCTGAGACACTCTTCCGTGCCCTCCCCCTCCCCCGCCCTCCACAGGATCCTCAAGTTCCTGGTGGCCAAAAGGAAATTCAAGGAGACGCTGCGACCGTACGACGTGAAGGACGTCATAGAGCAGTACTCGGCAGGGCACCTGGACATGCTGGGTCGGATCAAGAGCCTGCAGACCCGGTGGGTGCGCCTGCTCCCCTACCCAGGAGCGGGGCAGGGAGGCCCTGGCCCCAGATTCCGCGCGAGGTCCCAAGTCCAAAGCCAGAACGAAGCCCGAGTGCCCCCTAGGGGCCGCTAGCGGGGCTGGAGTTTCTCTGGGCTGAGGCCAGACCCCTCGCCTGTTTTGAACCTGAAGAATGAGCCAGCGCAGGTCCTCTGTGAGAACCCCATTGGCCTGCACAATTCAGGAGACGAGTTTAGATGATTGTTTCCTGGACATAAAATTATGGGATTAAAATAATAACCTCCCACCTCCCAAGGGGATTGTCCTTCATACTGCCCACCTCTTACCTCTGGAATTCCCTGGCACTTCTCTCACCCGGCATATAGGAAAAACTCTCATACCAAGACCCCAAATCACCTACACTTTGCCTACTTCTGTGGCCGGAATTCTCACTGCCTGTTCATTCATTTGTTCTCTCAAAAAATAGTCATTGGGTATTTGTTACTTGCCAGGCAGTGGGGATATGGTAGAAAGCAAAACAGAGTTCCTGCCCTCATGGGGCCTTCCTTCTAGTGGAAGGAGAACAGATGGAATATGTCAGACAATAATAAATGCTAAGAAAAAAAAAGGGCTGGAGTATTGGGGTTTGCTATTTTAAACAGGAGAGAAGGTGATATTTGAGAAAAAAAAAATTGAAGGCGAGGCAAGCAGCCCTGTGGCTGTTTAAATGTTTTCCAGAGGGAACAGCAAGTGCAAAGGCTTTGAGATGAGCATGTGGCTGGAGTGTTGTTCTAGGGCAGTGATGGCGAACCTATGACACGTGTGTCAGAGGTGACACGTGAACTCATTTTTTTTTTGGTTGATTTTTCTTTGTTAAATGGCATTTAAATATATAAAATAAACATCAAAAATATAAGTCTTTGTTTTACTATGGTTGCAAATATCAAAAAATTTCTATATGTGGCACGGCACCAGAGTTAAGTTAGGGTTTTTCAAAATGCTGACACGCCGAGCTCAAAAGGTTCGCCATCACTGTCCTAGGGCCAGCAAGGAGCCAGCTGTGCCTGAGGAGAGAGAGGTAGCAGACGAGGTTAGAAGGCTAATGGCACTTAGACTGTATAAAGCCCTGTAGGCCACTGCGAAGATGTTGGTGTTCATCCAAAGTGAGATGCAAGCATTGGAGCGCTTTGAGCAAGGACTGATGAGATCTGAGCTATATTTTAAAAGGATCACCCTAGGTGGTGTGTTGCCAATGGCTTATAAGGGAGCTAGGATGGAAGCAGGGAGACCATTGAGGATGCTACTTCAGATATCCAGGCAAGTGATGATGGGAAGTTGGACCAAGGGTAGACATGGTTAGATTTAGAATATGTCTGACATATTCCATCTGTTCTCCTTCCACTAGAAGGAAAGCCCCATGAGGGCAGGAACTCTGTTCAGCTTCTATTTTGAAGATAGAGCTGACAGGATTTTCTGATGGGGTATAAGAGGGAGAGAAAAGGTGTCCAAGATGAACCCAGGGTTTTTGGCTTAAGCAAGAGGGAAAACTTGCTGTCTGTTGACATGGGGAAGGCAATGAGGGGAGCAAGTTTTGATCAGTAAAATTGGGACATGTTGGGTTTGTGATGCCTATCAGACATCTAAATGGAGCGATGATCTGGCAGTTAGAAGGGTGTGGTGTGGGGTTCAGAGGAGAGATATGGTGCTGGAGATGTAGATTTGGTGTCAACAATGCATAGTAGAATGAACATCTGGAACTGAAGACATCACGGCGAATGAGGGTAAATGCATAGAAGAGGTTCCAGGAGCGAACCTTGGATCCTGCAATATTTAGAGGTTGTAAAGGAGCCAGTGAAGGAGACTCAGAGAGGTTGGAGAACTGGGAGAGGGTGGTGTTTGGGAATCCAAATGAAGAAAGCACTGGAAAGGGTGCTCAGATGTGCCCGGCGCTGCTAATAGGGCAAGTATAATGAGGACTGGGAGATGATCATTGAATCTGGCAACATGGGGGTCATTTGGGATTCTGACAGCAGTAGATTTGATGAAGTGGTGGAAGTGAACGCCTGACTGGAGTAGGCTTTGGAACGGAAGGAGAGAGATTGGAGATAGAGGGTAGAGAAAACACTTTCAGGAATTTTGCTGTAAGGAAGAGCAGAAAAATAAGGTGGGGCCAGCTCCAGCCTGGTCTGCCTTGTAACTCACAGCCCCGCTTGTGTCTCTTCCTCTTTTCCCGTCCACTTCCCACCTGTTCCCCCACTAGGTGATGTTTTATTTGTCGTGCTTCTGCGTGATGCCTTTGCTCAGCTCAGTGGAACACCCTCCAAGCAGTGGCCAGTCCCTCCGTTTGGCAAGGCCCCGTCCCTCGGGGAGCCTCCCTCCCACCAGTGCAGGCTGTGTCTCCCTTTTCAGCAGGCAACCTCGAAATCTTATGGGAAGGAGGGATGGCGTGTGTCTGGGCCCTTTGACGGCTCCCTTTCCCCACAGGGTGGACCAGATTGTGGGCAGGTGCCCCGGGGACCGAAAGGCCCGGGAGAAGGGCGACAAGGGGCCCTCGGACACAGAGGCGGCGGATGAAATTAGTATGATGGGCCGCGTGGTCAAGGTGGAGAAGCAGGTGAGTGCGCAGAGGGCGTCTCATTGGTGTGGCCGAGCTAGTCATCCACCCGGACGCTCTGGAAAGTCGCGGGGTCACGCGCAAGGGGAGGCTGCGCTTCTCAGAGCCGCCACCCTGACCACTCACCAGCCGGGGAGGCCCAGGCTGGACCCTCGCGACTGGGGCCCAGCAGAGCCCCGCAGATAAGCCCCGCCTCCCAGGAAACCCGCCCACGAGAACCCCCCCTCTCCTGCCGAGCCCCGCCCCGGGTTGCTATAGTCTCAGCTAAACCCGCCCAAGTCCCACCTCCTTAACTTGACCCCGCCTGCGTGTCTCTCGATCGCCCGGATTATTCCAATTTAATTTTGTTCGGAGGAATAAGCCCCAGGTTCCCACCTTCGTCCCGCGCTCGGAGCTCCGCCCTTCCAGGCGCGCCCCTCCCCGGACAAGCCCCCGCTCCAC